CACACACACACACACACACACACACACACACACACACACACACACACACACACACACACACACACACACACACACAAAATTAGTTTTATGTCTGTCTGTTTTCCTCTTGTTGTCTTTCCTCCCTCTGATTTTTTCTAAGTATTTTTGCTTACCAAACTGAGCGCCCTTAAGTAGTGCCAAACAGTTGGTGGTTCCTCTTTTGGAGTGCCTACTGCACTCTTAGGGCGGCTGCTCAGTCCAGAATGTCTGTGTTGCGTGTGGGTGATGACGGATGCTCGTCGGGGTGACTCCCTGGCTTAGTGGGTGGTGGGAACCAACAGTCTGCGGGGTTCAATCGTGATGTGAGTAGATCATGTGCTGCTTTGCTCCTTGTTGGATGTGTGGACTGCCTCGTCTGCGCTCTGCCGCTGCCCTGCTGCCTGTCCCACTTGCTTCGCATGTGGTTCTTTGCAGGTTGATGCGTTCGCTGTGTGTTGTGGCCGTGTTGTTGGTGTTGCCTTTGCGCTTCGCTGCTTCGCTGCCTTGCCGCTCATCTGCTGGTCGTGCCTTCCATGTCCTTTGCTTGCACGCCTTGTAGTTCACTTGCCTTGTTGGTGTTGCCTTGTGCTCCACTGTATGGTTGCTGTGCTACTCGATCGCTGGCATTGTCGTCCCGCTGTGTGGTTGCCTTGTTGGTGTTGCCTTGCTTCACAGTGTGGGCCTGGAGTGCGCACCAAGCTTTTCAGAACCACCAGCGATGCACAATTTTTTCTTTTTTGGCTGGCGCTGCCAGCCATTATGCTCTGGTAGTCCTGAGACGCACAAATTTCAGACTTGGCAACTTGCGATTTTCTACAAGGCTGAAGCCGTGTTCTGGTGGGTTTAACCATCAGTACATCTGAGAAAGCAGATTGAGCTTCTCCTTAAACCGCTAGTACACGGCCCTGGCCTTGCAGAAAGTTTTTGTCGCCACAAACAAAACTCGGAGGAGCCGCGCCGTACGGAGAGCCGTGGGTAAAACAAACTGGCGGCCTCCGAAGCGGTGCGGATTTCATGCTGGCACGGGCGGGCCGATGTGTGGTGTACTGGTGCTTTAAAATTCAGAGGCCATGGAGGGTCGATAAAATGAATCGGCGATTCATGTCCTCCTATTTTTCAGGAGAGGCTCAATCTCCTTTTTCGGATGTACTGGTGGTTTAAGGAAATCAGTAGCAACTTCGGTGAGGCTGGACCCCGCCAAAATATAAGTATATCTCAAAAATAATTTGTCATTTTTTCAAGCTACTGGTAGGGCCGGTGAGTTGCATGGCAAGTTCACTGGGCCCTACCAGCCCCTTGTTCTGATTATTTTTGGGCCACCAAACAAAATCGCAGTGCTTACTTCTTTTCCCTCATTGCTTTATTTGAGTTTCCAGACTCAAATGGTGCAGGCAGCAAATGAAATCAGGGGCACGGGGAGGGAGGGGTCGTGTTGCGTTCAGAAACACGTAAATAAAAATGTAGTGTACACTGTACTAGGCATTCTGCCAAATGCCACATTCGAAGGTAACGCCTGGGAGTTCTATTTGAATATAATACCCATGTGCTATATCAGGATTGGTGTTGTACTCGAAGGGAAGTAGATGAGTTAGAAGACAAATCAGACTTTATTATTATTTTTTTTTTTGTAGGGTAAGTTGAATATAACGCACGGCCCACGGGCATTACTTTTCTGGTGGAGACGGTAGTCTGGTACCGCTTGTTCAGCAGTTCAAGTCTTTCTTCTTCCCCCCTGCCCTTCTTTTTTGAAAAGAGGGCCCGGCCGGCTCCATTGTTCCAACGTGGCTGCAAAGGGTTGCGCCACCAAGCAGAAAGACACAATTTGCACCTGCCACCGAGCAGAAAGACGCAATTTTGCACCCGCCACCAAGCAGAAAGACGGAATTTTGCACCGCCACCAAGCAGAAAGACACAATTTTGCGCCCGGCGCACCAATTCTGTGGAACTTGACACATGGCTGAAATAGGCATTGGAAAAAAGAGGCTCGGACATAGTGCTGGTTTAAGACTTTATTAGTTGTGTTTTTTTTCTCTTCTTTTCTTTCCTTTCCACATTGGGAAGCCTTAGGGGAACAGACGGTGCCCAGAAACTCCCAGATTATCATCATGATGCATGTTTCTGGAAGCCAGCCACAGCATGGGGCTTCATTCCGCGATGTTAGAGTTGCATGCTACCGTACCTTTTCGGCCGTTGATGTGATGAACCTGCAGCTTTCACATGTTATTTTGCATGTTTCTAGTGTCATGGAATGATGGCCGCATTCATTCTCATGATCTCAAGCGTGTGTGCTGACTGTTGGTTGGCCCTCATCTTCTTTTTATTTTTTATTTTTTATTTTTTTTTAAGCCCAGGTTGTTGTAGACGTGGGATACTAGACAGATGACATTCGCCCACAGTAATCGGCCATTCGGTTGTCCAGATGAACCCCTCTGAAGACCCCAACCACCCTTCCTCTCATGTTTTTTGCTTTGGCGCACCCTCATCTCGTAATTTCCTGTGAGTGCTAACTGCTGGTTGTCCCTCATTCTTGAGTTGTGAGAACTTGTGAGAACATGTGAGAACTTGTGAGAACTTGAGAGAACTTGTGACAACATCCAGCAAACCCTAAACCAGGTAGGCTATAGCCTATAGCTGTGGTAAGATAACTGGAGATGCACCCTACTCTGAGTCAGACTCTATGCTAGAACGATCGAGTGTTCTGGCGCGCTGCGCACAGAGTGTGCAGTCTAAGTGAAGAATCCAGATTCGTCAGTACTATGATTATAACGATCCGTCAATCATCTTTCAGTATCACAGTTTGAAACAGCAAAGCGTGATTATCTTCTTAGTTCATTCGTAAATACTCTATTCCTCACCAGTTCCAATCTCATCACCCTTCTTTTTTATTCAACCCACTTCTTCACATTCGCATTCGTCAGACCTTCATAGTGACCATAATCCGTTCGTCATACATTCCATAATGTCCTGAACAGCATTCTACATAGACTCGATATCAACCCGGACAGGTGACTCGAAAACAGACTCGACATCAACCCGGACTGATGACTCGAAGCCGGACATCAACCCGGACTGATGACTCGTAAAAGCAAGAGTAACAAGAATCCCTCCGAAAAATAGTTACGATAGATCCAACGTGAAGCACAAAACGAAGAATCTGAAAAACATCGTGAAAGCTCTGTTCGACACGTGAGCAGCGTCCTACTCTACTGTCCTGGCAAACGCCCGACGCGTTTCTGCTGCCGCCAGTGCAGCGTCATCAGGGGCGATACTACTTTCGAAAGGTGAGTTCTACCTCTAGCATCTTGCTTTTATATTGTTCCAAGTTCCAACTCCAATTCGTACTGCCTACAGAAATTCGAAAACACGTTTCCCGCTCGTACATAAAAGTTCAAAGACACAAAACCTGGTTCTCCCGCTCGTACATACTACTGAAAAATTCAAAATTCAAAACCTGGTTTTCCCGCTCGCGCCATCTGTCCTAGCGTCCTGCTTCGTCTTTGCTCAATTTACTGTTCCAGTTCCGAAAAAACACTTGCGCACCTCGGCGTGCCCGTTGGTGGGTACAGGCCAGGTGCATCGGTGGCTAAACTACTGTTCCGAACCTTGCCGTATTCGACGGCCCAGTACATGCATCCGTTCTTTTCCAAAAAAAAACCGTTCCTTGGTCTGTCCCACCTCTTCCTATAGTACTTCGATCCACTCGTCCCAGGCCCCGTCCTTGGCCTGTATGATGTCAGTTGTGAGTCGAAAAAGTGCCCAGGGAAATTCCGTTTTCGAAGCTCCATTTTCAGTGCAAGGAGGGTGGGCCCCGCTTGCTCTTTCATCATGGTGTGGTTCCACACCCGGTGTAGATACCCTGTTATCACCGCTTTCTTGGCATGAGTTGATGAATAGGATGTGAACTCTTGTAGCCCTTGGAAAACAATGTCACCCCCCTTCAACAGTGTTGGCCGTAGACTCTATGATTGCCAGTGTGCTGAGTGTGGTGGAACATTCTTGGAATTGTTTGTGCTTGCCGGGCATGTCTTTCACAGAGGGTAGGGATGTAGATTTATTGTTTGCAAGACTCTAGAGGACTTTTACAACATTGGGCTGGGATCGCATTCTGTATAATCCTGAAGACGGTTGACAGCTGTGGTCCTTGAGAAGAAAGATAATCATGATAATGTACTTCAATTTAAAGATTGCGATATGGTGAGGACGGACTGGGAGGTTGGAGAAAGGTGCTTAGAATGGTGTTGACATTACTTCTGTGTGATGTATTTCATTATGCTAATGTCATTTCTCAGTTGTGTGGTTCAATGCTGGTGTTCTGGGGTGGGGTGGGTGATACGTGCAATGTCGTGACCATCTATGTTTACTCTCCACGAGTGGAAATTGACGTCAGGCAGTTCCTCTCCATTGTGTGTGTGTGTGTGTGTGTGTGTGTGTGTGTGTGTGTGTGTGTGTGTGTGTGTGTGTGTGTGTGTGTGTGTGNGTGTGTGTGTGTGTGTGTGTGTGTGTGTGTGTGTGTGTGTGTGTGTGTGTGTGTGTGTGTGTGTGCACGTGTGCTGAATAGGTCTATGAGCCATCTATGGCTAAGATGAGAGAGAAAGGCATGTCTACTGCTACAAGCTGTGCCGAGGCTGCCTCAGGTTTGCCCAGTCTCTTTGTGTGAATCCTTCCTCAGCGCGATTGATTCGATGGGTAATGGGCATGCAGTCAGGTTTGCTATTGTCGCATAAGGATATGCTAAGCACCTAATGCTCATCTGCATGGCCATGAGGAACCCTTCTTTAACAAAGCATCAGCAGATGTAAAAGTTATGCCCCTCTTTGTCCTCTCCCTACTCCATCCCCAAGACTCGTCCTCTCTTATTCTGATCCCTCCATTTTTTATTACCTGGGCATTCACTTGGAGCATTCTCAAAGTAGGACTTCCTTGACTGAATGTGACTCTGTAACCGTGTCAGATACATTGAACTTCACGAAAGTAAAAGCGTGATCAACATCCTGTACTGACGGCATTATTTGTTTGAGTGCTTTCCTCTCACCGTTTGGTGGTTAAACTTTCTTGTGTGTGTCTTTTTATTTCTTTATCTCCCGTTTTTTCCCTTTTTCTTTTTTGGGAAGTTAGCCTAGACCCAGAAGAGAAGGTGGTAGGAGGCTAGGAGCACCCTCCACTAGTGAGTCCTCGCTGGTTGCTCCAGTCTATTGGTGGGGAGGGGCGCCTGCTGGGAAACGGGTCCAGCGTCCCTGTTATGACATTTGCCCAGCTCAGTGGGGGTACTATTCTTTCGCCTTTTATGAAGTTTTATCTCTCGGTTTTATATCTGGGTGTTTACTCTTTTTTTTCTCTCTGCTGTTTTGTTCTGTTTTTTTGCTTTCTTCAGTTTTGTGTTCATGATTTCTTCTTAAACCACCAGTATGTCTATTTGGGTGAAGGCAGTAGCGCTGGACACACACATTGCCACATACTACAGTATGTCAAACCCCTGTTCGTAGCACTTTCCTCAGGCTACCCTACCCAAACACCATCGCTGTGTCCTAGCCTCTTTTCTTTGCCCGTGACTTAGCCTAACTACGTAGTCTACTTTTTTTCCTTCTCTTCTTTAAATTTGTCTTCGAAAGTCTTCCCTTATTACAGCTGCTGGAATCCAGGTCCCAAGACAGCTGCATTGATTACTCCCTCCATGGAAGGACGTACCCCTCCTCGGAGTCCGCCCCTGCTCGTCACATTGGTCTCCAAGATCGCAACTTTCTTGTCTATCCTCAGCAACATTGGCTACCTTCTTTTACCGGTCTGAGAATACAACGTACCATCATTATAGCTGTATTCGGGGTATCTTTCAGTCTAAATACAGCAATAATAACTGCAGTCACGTGCAGTGTGCATTGTATCCGGGTGAAGAAGGTAGGTTCCACTCTGCCTGATGAACGGCAAAGGTGACGCTAGAGTAATGCTGAGCGAAGTTCTCATTCTGCATACCGAGTCTTCCTGCTTGTCAGTGCGCCCATTTAAAAGTTAAAACAGATTCTTCCTCCTTCCAGAGATGGGCAATCTACACTGCTTCCAGGGATTACTGCAAGAAGGTATAATTTTGCTGTTCTTGGGCTTAAAGTTTGTCTGGGTCTTGGTCCATCGCTTTCTGTCTGCCTCGTACTCCGACTCCACCTCCGCCTCCGCCTCCAGGAGGTGGAGGAAGTCTTCCCATGCTCCGTGCACACCCTCAGGAGGGGAGTTTAGCCTTTTTTTTTTTTTTTGCTTCTTCTTCTTCTTCTTCTTCTTCTTCTTCTTCTTCTTCTTCTTCTTCTTCTTCTTCTTCTTCTTCTTCTTCTTCTCCTTATGCTTATGCTTATTTCTTTTTTTTCCAAAGCATCATAGAGTGGCCGTCCGCTGGACAGAAGATTCAGCCCATGCATCAGCTGGGAAGCGCACCCTGCATCCAATTTGCAACATGCATACAATTGAAGATAAAGAACGCTGGATAGCAATGGTCGTTCTGGGAAGACTCTTTGATCACCAAGCATTGGCAAGCAACACCTTCAGCAAAGCATCGTTGATCAATCAAGTTGGTGATGGTATGAAGTGTTGCTGTCTGTCTGTTTTTGCCCAATGCATGGAGATTGTAGCCTCCCAAACTACCTTCATCCATACTCGCATTGCCCACGTTCTCTTTATTGATGGCCGCCTTGTCATCTGACCAGAGCCCCCACCCTTCATCCCGTTCATCGCCAGAGGCCCAGAGGGCCAGAGTCGTTCCCGGACTGGATATCAGTGGGAGTTGCGCTCTGGTACAGATATGCCTCTCCATCATCGGACCATCGAGAAACGTTTTGCTGATTACTGTGGCCAGGGCTTCAGCCATGACGTCAGCCACACAGCCTGAGCCAACCAGGGCGCTATACAAGGTTCTAGAGATTATGTTCCATGCTCTCCAGCATAACGACATATTGACTAGATGGGGTTGAAGCATCTCCTTCTGCCGTCCTCGTTAATTTCTGTGATAATTCTTGGTTGTCGTTATCTGCCTCCTCCATGACCCCGAGAACTCCGAAAAGGCCTGGGTAATCTTGCGTTATTTTCTCTCTTACGGTCTGTTGGGTATTGTCTTTCCTCAAAAACTACAGATGGACTAAGATACATCTGTTGCTACCTCCCATTCATTGAACCTGGCTATGTATGTGTCTGATGGGAATCGGTGAGCGGATATGATGCCCCTGGCAATCTGATCGTAAGTTTGTTAACGCTTCGTGCAAGCTTGCGGTAAGCATCATTTTGTTCTTTTAGCCTCTTTGTCTGAGATGTGACCTTCAGTTATTTCTCTTGAAACCCTCTCTTTTTCATCCCGTTCCTCTCCTGCTTTTTCTAGCCTCTGTTTCACCCTTTTGTTCAGGGATAAATACAAAGGCTAGAAAAAACAGGAGAGGGACCAGGCCCACTTTATGGAACCAGGCCCACTTTATGGGCCAGGTTCCATATCAACTCTGGCGAGTGTCAGTCCTGTTCCTTTTCGACTGGGAAGTCATTACAGATACATGAGAAGCTGGCACACGCTTCCTTCGGGCTGAAGGACCCTTCAACAGCATTGATTGCTCTGTAAAGGAGGACTGACTGTCAGAAGGCCTGTCCCATTTTGGATTAATCTGTTCCACTTCTCTCTCTCTCTCTCTTCTCTCTCTCTCCCCTTTTTGTTTCTTACGTCCATCTTGATTCAAACTCGGGTCTGTATTTTGACAGTCCATGGGTGTACCGACTAAGCTAGGCAGATTGGTACTCACTTTTCTTGCTCTTTATTTTTTGGACGGTTTTTGGTTCTTCAGTTTCATGTCTCTAATTATGTTGTTGTTCTCGTTGCTGAAGTCCTGGGCTTCTGAGTCTGAGGAATAGCGCTCCCTTTTCCCCTGAGAGAACCTGTAG